GCTTAAGGTATGGTCACTCTCACAATGTTTAAATATTATTCCGACAGACGCCGTCTATAGATTAGAGACCCTAAGAGTTAGACATCCTTAGATGTCTATCCCATAGGATCCCATAAGTTAGCCCATAGGTCCTATGGTGAGCCATGAGTTGGGCTCGCAATCAAGCAGCAATCATTTATCTAAATCCTTAAAACATTTATAGAGTCTTATAAAGTTAATTCTTTCTCTATTATTGTATTGTTAAATTTCGCCTAATAAATGCTTTACACTGCTTCCTATATCATGTTCTTGCATCCTTAATATCTCTTCTGTTTCTTATGAGTGTCATGTACAGTCATGCTTTCTCATATGAATGTAGTTCATACTAATGCTTGTTATCTGCCCAAATGTTTTATTTGGAATTTGTAGCGCCTTATGTAAATTAATAAAAGCTGTAAAATTCATAGCTTTCTTGTTCTCTATTTCTAAGTCTCACTCCCGCACCCCACTTGAGGATGAACAGCGAAGAATGATGATTGCAATTGCTATAACGATTCTTCCTAATTAGTCACTATTAGGTGTATACTGGATTTTGTGGTTACTGGCGACTAACTTAGAAAGGTCGCCAAGTGAAAATGCAATAACCTCACAAAAGGTTTAAGTAAAAGATAAACGTCTTTCGCAAACAATGATACTCCTCGTAATTATTGAGCTATAGGGACCCTCGGGTTCAGATGGACTGAAGAGAGCCTCCAATTCTTAATCTTCATAATTATTGCCTAATACATATTTCACTAAAATTTGCCAACCATGTACCTCCAGTTAAAGATTGACATTCGTTCCTTCAGATGCACAAAGTTTTGAATTTAAGAGAAGATTTTAATGAGTTCATTAACAACGCTTTTTCATACGGCTCGTAAAGATAAATTTCCGCAGGTATTAGATCCGGCTTCGTAGGGACAAGAACTGTCTTCATTTTATTTCAGTTCATCGTTTTGGAACATGAAAATATTATATCTTGCACAATCATCGAAATTTGTAACGGATTTTACATTAATACCATCTAGTAATAGTATCCAGTTCTCTACAGGCTCCGCAAGTCTGGGAAGCATGAAAATGTTAAGTGTGTTATAAATACTTCAACTATCAGCAGACTACTGTTCCACTATTTTGTTTTAAAGTTTTGTTGAATAGATGAAGAGCATTGTAGAAAATTTGAAAGAAAAATATTAAAAACGCATTTAAATCGTTTGTATATGTGCTTACTTTAGCCAAGGTTGATTGAAAATTAAGAATTGTTTTCACAAAATCATATTTTCGTTTTCGATCGCTATGTATTGAAATATTACCTAAGCTATGCAATATCTAGTACATCCTTTTCGAATTAAGCATTAAAATCTTACACATGTTTTTTGATGCAACAACGTTCTTTATCTTTTTCCCGTGTTTAATTTTTCTTAATGGAAGTTTTAAAAGCTTTTCTTCTTTTAAATACATTTTATAAGAATGTATATCGCTGCCTCGACAACCAAAGGGATTGATTATTTTTGGAACCACAAAAGGTACCTTGTAATATATTTTTCACTTCAAAACGAATGGAATTCTTCGAAATTTAATTCAAAAGTTTCACATTACAGATCCTGATTAATTACCGCAAGAAACAGTTTTGATAATGCGTTGTATTTATCTTTATTAATGATGAATATCATACTTTATGAAAGAGCGAGCTGAAGAGTAAAAACAAACAGTGTAATTTGAAATGGTAATATCTGTAAATGGCTTTTCGTAAATTTAAAATCATTGTGACGAAAAAAATGCATCTGTCTCCCTTTGAGGGTAAAAATGAATTATAAATAATAAGGGAATTAAAATATCACATTCTCTGTGATATGATTAATTTGAAAGTTGAGCCTTTTTGATCATAAACAGCACTAAGCGATGAAGGTTTCATCTAATTTTCTTATTTAAAGAGACAAATTAAAATGATAAATAGATGAAAGTTATTTTCTTATTGTATTTTTATCCATTTCCCTGAAAGTAGTGATTAATTACATGGAGTATCAATGGTAAAATCTTGTAGATAATAAGATTACTACGCATCTACTTTAAATATGCGTGAGTATTTAAGCTGTTAATGGGTTGATGAGTTTAATTTACGTATTTCAACATTTTCAGCTTTAGAAAACCTAGCAAATGATCTAGACCGCCAAAATATCTACCTTTCGATTCTCGCATTCAAATATCAAAACCTGTCACAGATTTAGCAGTATTAATAATAGCATGATCTGAAATAAAGATTTTTGAATAAGTTTATTAATTCTGACATTTTCCCATTTAGTTAGCGTTATATTCCTTTTATTAAAACAATCAACGGCTTTTCTTTTTATTTTAATTTTAAATTGCTTAACAGAAATTTTAATACAAATATTTTAAGCTGACATATGCAATTTTGGCTCCCTACGAATGAAATATTAATTAATTATCTAATGGAAAGAATTTTAAAAGCACGTCCTTCAGCTTCATGACTTAAATGAAATAATGATTTACAGGGCTATCCCATGGAAACAACTGTTGGAATGAAATGGCAGATATTCGACCATAATGCGGGCGTAATTCAGAATACAAACCCGTTCAAATTATTCAAGAGTGTTAAAGCAGTGATCTGGAAGAAGTTGTAGCTGGAGATGTTAGGGTAGGCGGTTTTATCAGATTAATTCACGAATGTAAATTCGATAAATTGTAGGCCTGACAGGCATTGGATAGAAACGTTTATTAAGGCATGAAGTGTAAATTTTGCGAAATGTGTACAATACTAAGAATACCTCGTTTATCCGAAATATTTGGGGTTGAGTCATTTCGCATAATACTTTAATTTTTCTAGATTTTATATTGGCTTTCACAAAAAAGGGGAAGGAAACTGCTTCGTTTTGTACACATCATTTTAAAAAAAATAAAGCTTTTTAAAACACACATTTCGTATAAAATGTTTCAAATTTTACTTCCTCCATGTTCTTTATTTTTTTAATCATAGCAAGGAAATAACATTCATCATATATTTAAAAAAAGTACTAATTATTCACTATTATTGCAATTAGTTTAGCTCTGGTACACCAACTCTGTAATAAATATATGAAAATATATGATGATCAGAAATTATGCAAATAATTAGAGTTTGTTTAGAGATCTTATGATTACTGCATATTTTACTTAGTTTCGAATATGTGGTCATTTACTGTGGGACATTGTAAGGATAACTGAAATAAAAACAGAAATGTATAAAATTATTTGTATTATAAATCCTGCTTCCGAACTTTGGCGAAGCATTTTATCTCAAGCTGGCGATGAATTTTGATTTCTTCGCAAAATTTTGGTAGTTTTCGGAAGAAGCACTTTCGAAGCCCTTGGATTTGTTTTTTAGAAGCTTCCACAAGTGTATCGAAACTTTCAGCGCCCGTCAGGGAGTTGGAAGTCACCGTCAGCCAATTGGATCGCATCTTTTGGTTTATTTTACACTGCTAAGATTTCTGCTCAGTGATTATGGCTTTCGAATTTGCTTTGCCAGCTATCTGGATGATCTGAGATAATCCTCGCATAATAAAAAGAATTTTGCTCTACCTGTCTTTTTCTCGTCAACCTGTTTATACACTGGTGAAATAAATTAAGAGAATTTTCATATTTGATCTACGATCTCCAAACCTACTGGACAGATTTTAATAAAATTTGCTGTGAACATACGTTGATATAATACAAACAAAATAAACTGTCAACAGTTATAATAGACACACATGTTTGTGTGTAACGCTCACGAGAGTTTGAAGGTCTGAAACAGCGGTTGCAGAAGACACAAAAGAAATGGGTTAACAGGAAGTTTCTTTTTTTTTTTTTTTTTTTTTTTTTTTTTTTTTTTTTTTTTTTTTTTTTTTTTTTTTATTCCTTCCGCCCAACAAACCACCTGCTCCGTCGGACTAATTATTCCGCTGGTTAGGCTTTTCCTTCTCCGTCTCGAGTTATGGGCATTACAGTGTCCTTGTCGACTAAATGTCTTGTCGGCTAACTGTCCGTATCGGCTAAATGACCTGTCGGCTAAGTGTCTGTGTCGGCTAAATGTCCTGTTGATTAAATGTCTCTTTGGCTAAGTGATTGTCAGCTAAGTGTCACGGGCCCATATTTTATTATTCTGTTATAAAGTATACTTTAATTTTATAACAATTATTTTAATTTAGTTCATCTTTCCTGTGTTACCTCGTTTCAACCTACAACTCCCTACAAGAATAAGTTTTTAAAATCGCGTTGAATGCAAATGAGCAAGAAAGAGAATTAAAGGAAAATTCAACTAACTTCGAGAGAGAGTTAGGAATCTTGAGTAGCGCGTGTTTGCCTTTGGGCTACGCCTTTCTCAGCTGTTGTTACACTCGACGGTATTATTATTGACTTTTGAAAGTTCACCGAATAGTTTAAGATTACGAGCCAACTACATTAGAAATGTGTTAGCTTCGACTATATCTCTTAGTTAGTCATTAGTTAGTTCTTATTTCTTACTTTTCAGTTTAAGCCTAAGTGGAGGCTTTGCTGTAATCCCGAAGAAAGGAGGCCTACTGTTAATCTTATTTTGAGTGAATAAAAGGGTAATTAACCCTTCTTGAGTTTACGCTTTCTGTTCTTTGCAGTAAGCCATAAATCGTTTAGCAGTTCATTAGGTTCCTCGACACTTCATTCATCAGGGTAGAAGTGAGGAATTCTATAGTGTCAAATATGGATATGTGCAAGATTTAAAACATTAGGCGAGGTTAAGAGAGTCAAAAACTTAACTCTAACAAATTGACTAATTACTAAACAAACAACGACACTAAGCTGAGAAATATCATGTAAATACTGGTCACAAGCAATGTGAGGGCTTAACTCCAAATATTCGTCATACAAGTTGGAATTATGTATCTACTGTTGTTTTATTATATTTTATAATGTAATATTTTTATTATACAAATATATAAGTAATATGTGAAATCTCTATTCTTGATTAGACAGCAAGAAATTCCAACCCATGCTTCGCCAATGTTTCCTGAGCCCTCCGCCTCCTGACGTCATCCTGTCCTTCGAAGGCAAAGAATTAAACCTGGAAAGTGAAGTTGCACTTGCCCACGGCAGCCTTATAGAACTACGATGTGCAGAAGTGGGAATGTTTAAGTTCGTCGGGCAGTCTACGATTCGATGCGGGAATGGACAATGGAGTGCACCGCTTCCAATATGCCAACCTACTAGCATACAAAGAAACTTTTCAAGTAAGTTTTTCAATAAAAAGATAGTTTTGCTAGTAACACACTGCAGGGTCCTGAGATTTTAAAATGTTCTTAATTTGAAAAGAGGAATGTATACTTTTTTATTATAAATAATAATCTTGACATCGAAATTTAACATTTTATTCAAAAGATTCTTCATCTTAATGAATTTTTTTAATAGTACATTTTTTTGAAACGAGATGTTATAAATTAATTGTGCTTTCTTTGCTATTCGAAACACCGATTTCTGCTATTAGTGTGGGTGAGTTTAAGAGCACATATGGAAAAAAATGAGATTACATTCTACTATACTAAAGGATTTGAGAAATGTACTAGGACCAGTCGACCAAATACAGATGGTGATGAATGATCATCTACTACATTTTAGTTTAGTTAGAGTTTGTATGTACAGAAAGTTAAGCTTTCTAAAGTTAGGATATCTGAAAAAAAAGCAGTTGTTCCTCAACAAAGTTAAACAACAGATCGTGCAACTGCTAGTTGCACGATATCACTTACAATGCAAAATAAAACCTCCTCCATGGTTCACACAGATATTACATGAAGAAAAATAATTTTATAAAGCAGTCTAGAACTTTAATCCCTAATTTTGTGAAATGGTAAAATTCAGTATTTTTAATGTAAAAAAAAAAAAAGAAACGGTTTTGAAATATTATTTGTCCCCTCAAAATATGATAAGCTCTTTCGCTTGAAATCAGCACCAATGTTTAAATGCGGCCAATAATATTCAACAAAAGCTGAAAATTAGTAATACAAAATAATATATTCATATTGATTGAAAGTGTTTGACACTTATTCTGTTTTTTAGAAACAAATGAGTCTGTGAGAGCTGAATGCTTTTTCTGTTTCAGATATTGAACTTTCGCGTTGAATTATGCTTTTCACAGCCTTTTGAATTACACATTTTTTAAATGATAAAATAGACAGCTTCGTGATATCCTCTTCAGCCCTGCGGGTATTACGTTCTTCTCTTGTGGATCTGAAAAAGAACTCTTTCAATTAATTAATTGCATTTTCAATGATGATAATACCTAGAAATCTCTTATCACTAAATAGGCCGCCCTAACTGATATAAGGTTAGAGACGCTGGCTGTTGTAGCAATGGGCCTGGATTCGAAACTCGGAGAAGGCTTGGATATTTGTAAGTGTATAGTGTCATAGAAATGCTCAAAACTCCGGAGAGCGAAAAGTCCTCTAATCATTTTGGTGTTAGATAAAGTGAGGTTGAAACCCTCGGACTGTCCCTATCAAACCTGGGGCGGACCTGCACTGTTAGTGCGGTGAAATTATACCTGTATAGCCAATGGTTAAGTTCTGGTTGCCTCCTATTTGTACCTGTAGTCTCTCGTGGACGCGGAGGCGATCAGCAAGCGCAAAAATTAGGTCAGAAAAAATTCGTCAGAAAATTTCCATTTAATACTAAAGGAAGAATGTTAGAAGTGTTTGTATAGAAGAGGAAATGGGAACAGGATTTTTCTGACACTTTTCTGATAAAAGGTCTACCATCTACGGTTGGACCGTACACATGCTTCTAATCATAGCAATAAAATACTGAAGACTATGATTGTCCAACTGTTGGCTTAATAGCCCATCGATATATACAACTACATAAAACCCATTACAGCTCTGATTTATCTAATAACGGAAAAAAGAAATCATCTAAACATATTTCAGTCAGCTCCTGTTATTTTAATACTAAGTTCTAGTAATATATCCACCAAGATCAGATTGCAGTTTTTTTTTAATTTAGCACTTTCTACACTTATTTTAAATAGTTTTTCTAATATATTTAAGGCTCACCAGCGGCCGAGCGGTAAAGTCGTTGAACACTGGTAGTTCGGTCCGAGGTTCGAATCCCGCGAACGGGCTGGCTGCATGGGTGCTTTTCGTGGTTTTCCCCATGTGTAACGTGTATACGAGCCAGTTTTCCTTAGAAAGTCTTCCACCACGAAGGCATCCCTCCCCTTAGGATAGCCCTAGTGTAATTAAAATACACCACACCACTAATATATTTAATTCTAATTTTAAGTTCTACCAAGTATCAGACATTAAACTGAAATTTCCAATTTATATGTTTCTTTACTCTTAAAAGTGATAACTCGTTGACATAATTAGGTGGCTCATTGGCCATTAGATTTAAAAAAATTAGGAAATGCTCAAGGCGTAGTTATAAGTTTGCACAGATAATTCGTCCTCTGGATGAGAGAAATATGAAAACTGAAGAATGTCATAGCTAACATTCGAGCCACATATTTTCCACTGCTAACTGCATGCAGTGGCGTAACTAGAACTTTTGGGTCCCCCCATGCCAAAAAAATTTTGGGCCTCCTATGAAATTTACAGTACTCCCCCTCCAAATTCGATGATTCCAGGAGCCAAAATTTTGATGATGATCAGATAATAATTAAAAAATCTGATATGGACACCAAATGACTTCCTTGGATTAAATTATACACATTTTCTGCTGCGCTTCATCTAAACTTACTTCCTTGAATGATTCTAATTTAATGAACCGATCTCTGAAGTCAAGAAGAAATTGACATCATTGAAAATTTTGAACTAAATATCCTGGTCAGTTTTTGTTGCACCAGAAGTCAAACTTCTTGTAATTTATTTTTTTGCATGGGTATAACACTTTCCCAAATGGAAGACCGGAGGAAAATTTAAATTTGGTTATTCGTCGAAAATTATGTTTTTTTATTATTATTATTTTTTAATTTGACATTACCAAAACATTTTTCGTCCTGAGAGATTTCTGAATGGAAAGCTATGACTACGACCAACGACTGCGAAAATAAAGGTCGGATAAGGACTTTTCAGCCGCGTAAGGGGGTAGGTATATATTCTGCCAACTGTAATAAAAAAAGTGAAGTGCACAACTAGCACTCCCATATACAAAATTTCAACGCTCTACGGCTAATCGTCTTTGAGTTACGCGATATACACTACTGGACCTTGAAAATGCAACACCAAGAAGGAGTGGTCAGAAATTTATACAAAGTTTAGAGTAGGCGCACGTCACTGAGTTATGCGAATGATGTGAAATGCGCAGCTCTCCGACGCACGTGAATTAAGATATAAGGGATGGAACGTGCAGAACGGGCAATATTCCTGTCTTTATTTCTTCCAGACGAATTATCGAAGAAAATTGGTTTTGTCCCGGAGGATGCGTGTAATAGGAGAGAATGCCAGGCCGCCGTCAACGAAGGCACTTCCAGTAGATAGACGATTTTACGAGGGGTATGGTGATCGGACTGAGAAATGCGGGTGCTTACGTTAAATCGCAGCTGATACCCACATGGATGCGAGCACGGTGCATCGGCTATGGCGAACATGGTTAAACAAGGAAATGTGGGAAGAAAGAGGGGTGCAGGTGCAGCCAGAGTGACGTCAGCGCGCGTGGATTGACGCATCCGCTGACAAGCTGTGGCGGTCCCGCAAGTCACTTGTACCGCGATTCTGCAGCATGTGCAAGATACCCCGGATGTTCCCGTGTCGACCAGAACCATTTTCCGTCGATTGGTTGAACGTGGCCTGCACTCACGGCGTCCGTTAAGAAGACTGCCATTGTTTAGAATGGTGCCGGCATAGACGCCAATGTTTAGAATGGTGCCGGACTGGAGCGATGTGGATGACAGAATGGCGAAACGTCGTGTTCTCAAATGACGACGCTTTTTTTCTACCCAGTGACAGTCGCCGTATACGCGTGTGGCGTCGACGTGGAGGCAGATCTAATCCGGGAACAACTGTGGAACTCACCATCGCGCGGCAACGAGGCATAATGGTTTGGGGCGCTATTGCGTACGATTCCAAGTCCCCTCTAGTTCCTTCGTATTCAGGGCACTGTGACGGCTTAACGATACTTGGATAATGTACTGCGTACGGTGGCAATCCCCTACCTTCAGGGACTGCCTAATGCAATTTTTCAGCAGGATAACGCCCGACCACACAGTACTCGCATCTGGCAACATGCTCTGCAAGGTATACAGATGCTTCCCTGCCCACCGTACTCTCCTGACCTATCACCAATCGAACATGCGGGGGATGTGATTGGACGCCGTTTGCAGACTTTGACCCTGCCTCGTTCATAAGACGAATTGTAGCAAATGGTTGAAAGATAATGAAGAGCCATCCCTCAGGACACCATCCGCACTCTTATTGACATTATGCCTAGACGTGTTTCTTCGTGCATCGCTGTCCGCGGTGGTCCTATATGTCTCTAGCCAACTTTAGATAAGGGTGGACGTGGTGCTGTACTGATTAATCTTTACGGCAAAGGGACAGTGCCCACGTCCACCGTCACTTATTACTTATCCTACTGAGCTGACGCCGTTCTCGCTCTGTAGTTGACTATCATTTTGAAATAAAGATCACTTATTGCTACTTGCTGTCTCTGTCTTTTTCCCAAATTTCATCACTTTCTGATCACTCCTTCTTGGTGTTGCATTTTCAATGTCGAGCAGTGTATATATGTACACATCTCTCTGTACACATACGTATGTACGTATATGCGAACGTACAGATGTCCCGAATAAAATCACTTTTGAATCCATTTTAAGCCCATTTTATAATCCTTTTTTTTTTTTTTAAGAGAACAGTCCTTTATTCTGTCCGTACATACAGACGTCACGAAAAAAAAAAACCCTTCCAAATGGATTAGGGAATGTCAAAATGATATTTCCGTTGAAATATGATACCCGACAGTTTGGTATATGTAACACTGAATTCAACTTTTATAGGGGCATTTTGCTCTTGGTCATAATATTTATAAAAGAATGCGTCTTCTTTTAAGTTTAATAATTTGAATTTAGTTCAGCAGAATATTCAAGGGCCCTCTAAGCCTTTGGGCCTCTATGCGACGGCATTCTTTGCATACTGTAATATCTTGTTATTTAATAAATAAGTATAATTATTGTGTAAGTGGCAACGCCGTATTTGTATTAAAACATCAGCAACGTGAGATATTGTTTTAAAAAGATTTAGTA